ATCGTCGCTCGTGATTACAATCGATTCATTGTTTATTCAGCTTCATTTATTGAATTGAATTGATAATCTTAACGAAATATTTAAAATCATCATAAAAAGATATATCCTTTCAACTCCTCTAGACACACATTTAAACACTTACTTTGAGGAACCCTTAGTGTCAATCATTTTTACTGATTAAACAGTAACAACACGGCAAAAAAACTATTTCGTTACCGTCAGCTATAATACAAACTTTGTGAAACAAGAGACTTTATGTGATCTTATTAAGCAGTTATAGACGGTCAGAAAGCGTGGCTCGAGCTATTGGACGTTTGGCTCCATAGTTAACCACATTTAATTTCAATTTATTGATTTCTGATTTTTTGCTTTGCTTTTCATTGACGTTGATTTGTAGTATAGGAGTCTTACTTACAGCGTCAAGGTCCCCTCGTAGGAAACCCTAATGCCAGTGAACACTCCTGGTGGTAAATCCTGTAACTGGTTGTTGGACAAGTCCCTGGAATAAATAAGTCATTTTAACAAAGTGTGAACTCTGCTGTACGCGACATGTGTGTTTTCCTACATCTTGAAAGCTCCCAACACTTGTTCAAAATATTAACATTAACGTTTGTATTTACCTCACATTAGTGGATAATTAGATCAAGTTACTCTACCCTTAGATCCTAATGCAAAATAACATTGTTCGATTAATCTGCCAACATTTCACACCATCTGGTTTTCTGAGCAGTGGTACAAATTTTAAAGATGGCGAATACTTGGATCAGATTAATTGCTAGTCGATAATTAAAACTCGCAAATTGAAAGAAATGGAGGAACACATTTTAAACCACCTGTTGTCATATTCCTTTCATCTCGCTGGTGATAATAAGTTTATTGAAACGCCAAGTGACCAGAGAGAATCTTTCAGTCAAAACGATGAAGAGTAACGCTGATATTAGCACATGCCTGTGATGTGAAATTCTTTCGGAAATCTCAACAAAGATTTATTATCGCACTTAATATTAACTGAATTTTTATTTGAGCCACGAGCACTAATTTTTTACTGAGTGCCATTCATACAAGAATAACGGTTACACCGGGCGTTATTAGTGCTGGTTGTCTATTTGTGGTCCTGAGCAGTAGTGTAGACACTAAATGACTGTAAATATATGAAAATCATATATGTGAACTGCGAATAAACAAATAAACATGGAAGCGATCCTCGCATTAATGAACACTACTCAAGCGGTAGTGAAATTAAGGTTCAAGTCCCGTACAGGCCTGAATCTTTTTGAGGCCTTTTTTATTCAATTACATAGATGAGTTTACTTTATATTAAATTGATGAGCAAACACTATGGAGTTCTGTTAAGTTTTCCATCGATAGACTTTTACAACGATAGTGGATGGGCGACGCTCATTCAAATTCTGAAACACATGCTCAAAACTTTTGAATCTTGATGATCACGTTTATCATCCTTCATGCCAACGAATGTTTCAGGAGCTGGCTCCTCACTTGGACTTTGTTTGTTTGTAAAGCGTCTTAATGTAGTTCTGCTTCATATGATCATTAGTCTGAATGTCTCTGTACAATATCCCTCTACCTCCCTTTTTTTAAGTTTATGTTGCCGGAATTTTAACTCAAGATTTCACTGGTTGCCAATGGACCGCATGCAACGCGCATTTTGTTGTTGTTGTTGTTGTTCTTTTTTAATTTTGCAATAATTTTATAACGTACTTGATACTCGTGCTGCGTGAAAAGCTTTATGCATCTCCCATCTATTACGGGCGATTTTACAGGCGAATTGAACAAGAAAAACCGTTAAGCAAAAATAAAACCTTCGACCTAGTTTATTTAACAAAACGTAGCAATAGTTTGAGAAGACAGTAAAAATACGCATGATCGGTCTAAAAGTCAATCACGATATCGTAACGCAATAGTGACTAACGCAGAAGCGTTACGCGAAAGTGTCGCAAATCAGCTCCGAGTCAGACAACATCTTTGCTGGTCGCAGCTGGTTATTAGCAGGTTTGCAGCCATTGGCAAAGTGCTTCATTCTTCTTCGAATGAAACCCTCTGGCCGTATTCTCTGCATGCTTCACAAGTGGACGCGTGAATTCTAAAAGCTGCTGTCCTACAATTAACGCAAATGAAGACATTCGCGCGCCCAGTTCAAACACCCATTGACTGATTCTCACTGAGTGCGTAGTTTTCCGCCCAGCTCTCTCCTCTCCCCGTCCATAGTACCTCGCACGAAATCGTGTTTAGGGCGCCACTACCCTATGTGATTATATATGTCAATTGTGCGAAAACATATATTCATTACAACAACGTAGATTTTCGACACGAGATGAGAGTGAAACTCGTTCATGCTCATTGCTTTTCCTTGGTTTTTAATAAGATGTTAATTGAAAACGCTCCGTCAAGACTCCCGAATGTCTAACACTGAATGGTAAGGCGGAATTTCAAGCCTCCACCGACTCTCACCGTTCTTTGATCATCGATCGATCATTGCTTTTGATCATCGGATCCAACTTAGATAGGGAACTTTTACTTTTATTTTTAGTGTTCCATTCCTTACGACTTATACTTAATTCTTGAATGTTGTCTGTTGTTATTCTCTATAAAAAGATTAGCTTTTCAGTTTCTCGTATTTCGGCTGCTGTGGTGGTGACTATTTTCAACTTGTTCTCAATGAAAGTTCCTGTCATATAATTTATCAGTCTGACTGCCCTTTCTCAGTCGGAGAACCTTGACACGCCGTCGATGTAGCTAAACTTCTTCTTGACTGTAGTCGTTCGCACAATAGCCTGGTAGTTACTCTACTCTTCAGAGATTCTCATGCAAAATAACATCGTTCAATTAATTTGCCAACATTTCATGACACACCATCTGGTTTTCTAAGCAGTGGTACAAATTTTAAAAGATGGCGAAAACTTTGATCAGATTAATTGCTTGTCGATGATTAAAACTCGCAAATTGAAAGAAATGGAGGACTCTTTTTAAATCACCTGTTGTTATATTCTTTTAACCCGTTGGTGATAAGACTGAATAGTTTATTGAAACGCCAAGTGATCAGAGAGAATCTTTCAGTCAAAACGATGAAGAGTAACGTTGATATTAGCGCATGAATGTATTGTGAAATTCTTTCAGAACTCTCAGCGAAGATTTATTAACACACTAAATATTAACTGAATTTTCATTTGAGCCACGAGCACTAATTTTCTAGTGAGTGACATCTATTCAAGAATAGCGGTTTTACTGGGCGTTTTTAGTGCTGGTTGTCTTTATGTGGTCCTGAGTAACATTGTAAAGACTAAATGACTGTAAGTACATGAAAATCACACATGTGCACAGCGGATAAAGAAATGAATATGGAAGCGATCCTCGTAATGTACACTACTTAACCAGTAGTCAAAATAGGGCCTGAAAAAAATTCAGCAGTAGTATAAAAATAAGTTTCAAATCCCGTACAGGCCTGAATTTTTTCAGGCCCTATTTTCACTTCTGCTTAAGAATTATTCATTACTGCGAGGATCGCTTTCCTATTCATTTCTTTATCTGCAGTTCACCTATATGATTTTCATATATTCTACGGTCATTTATTCATCACGGGTTTATTTGGAACCAACATAATGATCAGCTCCCAGTTGACTTGTTAGCTCAGTTGGTAAAGCGCTACACCGATATCGCAGAGGTCACGGGTTAAAATCCCGTTCAGGTCTGATTTTTTTTTTTCAGGCCATATTTTTACTACTGCTTAAGAAGTGTTCATTACTTCGAGGATCGCTTCCATATTCATTGTTGAGACTGTTTTCATGACATTATGAGCGGTTTTGTGGCAACTAACGTCGAGCATTCATCAGGGGTATTATAGCGGTTGTATTTAAAAGTTCACTAGCGATGTCTTCAAGCGGTTGCCTTAGACAGTTATCAAACGGTTGTCTTCAGGCCTTCATCACCGCTGTTGAAGCGCTTGCCTCAAACTGTTCCTCAGCGGTTTATCAGCTGTTGCCTCCTGGTGGTCTCGCAGCGAATGCGCCTCTGAGCCGTTTTTTTGTGGCTACTGCCTCCTACAGGAGGCGAAGCCGCATGAGTTGTCGAAATTAGTGAGTGAGTGAGTGAGTGAAACAATAGAATTCTGATCTTGACCCAATTTTGACCCGATGTTTCCCGATGCTACTCATAATTATTGTTTTTTTCGGTGTGTCTCATTGATTCGACATTCGCATTCGATATGCATTCGATACAAAGTTGAGTTCTCTCTTTTTGTGATTTCTAGCTTAAAGCCACTTGTACATTATATTTACCGACTTTACAGTTCTTGCCGTGACACTACGGAAGTCAGTAGAAGACGTTAATCATCTCACAATCAATTCAGGATTGCACGCGATTAAAAAAAAAGTGTTTTCCTTTCAGAAATAGGTGTGATCGGCGCATAGTAAAACACAGCAGATTTTTTTTCTGTGAAGAGAGAGCGTTTTACCGTTTAAATCAGATGCCCAGATCGGAAGACATAATCTTTCAGTTCTTGCCGTGACACTACTAAAGACGATAAACATCTCACAATAGTTCACAATGGCATCCACCGACGCATAATTGAAATCAAAACTTTTCCTTGCAAAATATCTCAAAAGATGTGATCTGCACATCAGGAAAGCTTTGCAAAATTTTTTTCTTCATAAAAAGAGAGTATTATTCTGTTTGAATCAGCGGCTTATGCCGAAAGAGCCGCTAAATTTGCGATGCGAGGAATGGTGGAATATCTTAAGACACGGAATGACGGAATATTCTTTATTCCGTAGGTACTGAGATTTACCCACAAAAATCGTAGTGAATAAAATTCGTACTGATTCTAAAAGTAGCCAACCAGGAGTACGAACGACAAAATTTCACCGTGAAAAATTATCGTTCGTCCAATCAGCAACGCGAACGACGAAATTTCACTATTGATGAATGAACGTACTGAAGAGTACGTCATGCGAGAGCCGTTGCACAAAACCCGCGCGCTTTGAAAAATGGCCGAGGGAAGGTTCGTTTCTGTTTACTCAGTTGAAGAATTCATTTTAGAACAAGAAAACAAAAATACCGCTCAAAAAACTGAAAGAGATGTAAGATTGCTTGAAAGATTTTTGAAAACGAAGGACGAAGACAGGAAAATTGAAGATATTCCAGCGGCTGAGTTGAATGAATTCATTAGCGAATTTGTTATCTCCGTACGCACCAAAGATGGCAACAAGTACGAGCCGACTTCGCTTCGAAGTTTAATGGCCAGCTTCGAACGACATTTGAAGAAAAAGGGCTATTCTGCCAGCATAATCAACGACTTAGTCTTTGAGAAAACCAGAAAAGTTCTTCAATCCAAGCAAAAGCAGCTAAAGAAGCAAGGAAAAGGGAATAAACCGAAAGCATCGGTAGCTTTGACAACCGAAGAGTTAAAGATATTGTACGAGAAGGGTTTGCTCGGTATGTGTAGTCCTGAGGCGCTATTAAACACACTCTGGCTAAACAACACTCTTCATTTTGGATTCCGTGGGTGCAAAGAATATCGTGATATGTGTTGGGGAGATGTAAAGCTTCACAAAACGGCAAACGGAGTGGAATACTTGGAGTTCAATGAACGTCAAACGAAAACTAGAACTGGCTCAGACTACAGCAAAAGACAACACGAAAAAATCTCAGCACCTATGAAATAAACACATTACAGCATGGAAAATGCTTTATATGATTTTCATTCACTCGTTGATACGTATCAGAAAGCTCACTCGTTCGCTGCCCTCACTCTTTCGTTTTCTGATACTACACAACTCGTGAATAAAAATCGTACTCGCGCATTTTCCATGAAGTAATCTCTATATATCGCGAAATGCCTTTTGGTATGAAACAAGTCTCAAAAAATGGAATTGCAATAAGATAAGAAAATGTGTTAAAACTTGTGCTATACCCGTAGCCACATGCCGTCCTTCACTACTTATTTTCTAAAGGATGTCTTGAAATGTTGAATTTTTTAATTTGTGTCTTAGCTCTCGGGGGTCTTCGTTTTTGCTAAAACCGTTTTGTTTAAGCGTTTCATCAGCAGTGTTGCAGTGGTTGTATACCACAAACGTTCTTTAAACGACCTCTCTCAACCAGAATGCACTGCTGTGAAGTGGCCATTCTCAACACTTTCTATATAACAAAAAGGGAGGCCAACTTATATGTGATATTATTCGGCTAAATATATCTGCAATCTTGACCGAGAAACGGTGTTCTATAGCCTCATTTAGTTTATTTAAGTATCTGTCGTCTATTTGCGACGTTTTTTTTTGTCCTTATCATTCCATGTTCGCGATAACGAAGCCATCGACAAGAGGTCGTTCTGTACGAAATGAAAGCCTTAAGGATTGACAAGATAACAAGCTGAGAGTTTGCAGAGGCCATGCTATACAGCATTTCAGTGGAAATTTAATCAGAAAACTCCTCTCTGCACCTGCATTGGAAGGTCTCTGTCTCTTTGTAATTTTATGCACTTGCACGTCAAGGTCGATTCCTGGTTAAATCTCTTGCCTTTGTACACTTTTGTGTCATAGGCGTTAGTTGCACTTGGAAAAAGTTTTCCGAGATGTGTTTTCTTCCAAAACCAGCAAATAAAATATAAATAAATATGCAATGGTAATGATGCTCACGGAAACACCCAAAATGTTTTTTGGCTATCTCAGAGGATAGTAAATACATGTAACATCAATTTTTCCTCCACAGCAAGGATCAGAAGCAAGTGTTTATATTCTTATAGTAATTTCAATGCAGCGCTCAGAAGTAATTCTGTCTCACTTTGTGTAACAGCTTTAAGTGACTTCTTTCCCATGAATATAGAGGTTAGCTCCGAAGGCTTAAACTGGGTCCGATCTACTACTTGGCTCTTAGCAATAAACTGATATGCTTCTCATGCAGAGCATTTTGTATAAAGCTGATCTAAGATATATCGACGATTCTCTGTTTAGTTCGAGTATTTTTACACTGCAATGGTAAGTGTTCTTTGAGTACGATATGAAATAATGAACTTAAGAAATTTACTGAAGTCCAAATTTTCAGCTGATCTCAATATCGTTTTCTTTTACTTATCTCGCCGTGTAACTTTCCAAGCTGCTTTACTTAAGATATTAAGTTTTTTTTACCTAAAAGTTTTACAGAGCCGGAAGAGAGCTTTAAAAATATAGTAAAGATGGACGAAATTTTTCCAAGTTTATCATGGATGATCTATTTCCCATGTGAGGGTCATTTCGCCAGTCAGTGTTTATGTTCTACGTTCGAATCGAGCAAAAGAATAAATACTCTGATGTTGATGGTCCGACATAGATACCTTATCAAAGTTTACTCGTCACTCAGAAATTACATATCACATGGAGGTTATCTCTGGAAATACTTTGGTTATGTCCAAGAGAAATGATAGATTGACACTGATTTCGTTACTAGATTCAACGGGTTTTCTTTGTCAGGTTGTAGTTGCTGGTGTTGTTGTTTTTGTTGTCCTTTCACCAACTTAACATTTGCAGGTGGGCTGTAAGGTCTAACTTAATATTTTCATGATCAAGCTCAATGTGTAGACCTTTACGTGGAATAGCGGACATAATAATTTTTAAAGTGAGTTTTGTAAATCAAAATGGATGAATTTAGCTAATTTGCGAAATTCATGCAATTTGATTTGCGAAACGCACCCGAAGAACCTCATTGAATGAAACATTATTTTCCATCCGTTAATCTTCAATACATCAAAATACAAAATAGGTTGACAAAGTCAATATGACTTACAGTTTTATCAGATTAGAATTTCTGCTGAAAACTTCCTTCGGCAAGTGCTTCAATTTGTTGTTTGAGAGCGTGCTGCAACAAAAAAGAAAGTCAGTTTTAACTCAAATTGTGAAAGGATAATCAGCAGCTAGCAAAAAAACCGTCATCTGTTTTTACCGAATGAGTGTCCAAAAAAAAAAAACCGGTAGAGAAACTGTCGATCGAAAGTAAAACAAAGTCAATATCTCAAACTCCTGCGTAAATCTGACTGGAAATTAATTTTTAATAAATTGAATATGCTTTCACTGGTTTTTTTTACATTCTAAGGTAAATCAGTTGGCTCTTCTTTCATTTCAACACTCTGAATGCAGATAGAAAGGGAAAATCACCCGACGCATCTGGTTCAACAGTTATGGAATGTAATTCTTGTTATTTCTTATGAAATTTCTTATAAAATTACAAACGACCATAAATTATTTTGTCTTTAGTATAACCTTCTCGTACTTTAGGCAATCATTGTGCCACCTCCAAATTCGAACAAAGGCCAAATTTGAGGCTTAATCGTTTACATGAAAAAATTATGCATGTCTGATTGGCTGAAAACGATTGCATATTTCATATAAATTCTTATTGGCGCTGCCAAAATTTCGTCCTTCTTGACGTACTTCTGTGGTGAGTTTTTCATATGTAAGTCATTAACAAGACTAACAAGTAACGACGTGATTTCGAGTGCAATTTGGTGTAAATAAGCGCATGTAAATCTGTCAAAGACGGACTCGTGCAATTTTGTTGTCTTTGAAAATTTTTTAGTATTTATCAACATCATATTGCACTCGAAATCATGTCTTTACCTAAACTTATATGATGTATTAAGAACTTACAGTTTTCCTGTAGCTCGGGGAATTTTCTCTGGAATTGACTTAAGCTGTTTCGTTCCACAGTCGGCCGATACTAAGTTCTTCATGTTACCTTTAAGGACTTTGCATTGGCACTGTTGAGGGCACTCTGACAAACAAAAACAGGCTTCCATTAAAAAGACATATTTCACATCACATTTTTTATTTCTATTCAGCCGTTGGTGCAAAACAGCTCATTATAATCACGAGCATGATTTTTATTCGCCATGTATGAAAATAATCTAAAATACTTAATTATTGGGATTTGTTGCTCTCTGGTATTTTCCGTTTGATCTGTTCGAAGATAAGGAGAATAGTAAAGTCAATCCAGTGCAAACTTTGTTAAATTTTTTCATGTTTACGACGTAGATTCAAATAGACCGAACCTACTACCGCCAAGGTCGCATTACAGCTTTTTTGTTTGTTTAAGCGAAAAATAGGTCAACGAGTTTTGTTAAATAAGTGCTACCCCCAATTTTAAAACCTTGCCAACTTTTTTCGGATCGCCAAAATTTCGCCAATCTTCACAGGAGCCGATGTCCTGCCTCGCAGGCTTCCAATCTTGAGCACACCGAACAATCTTGTTTTTAAACCATTTGGCTGTCATCGTACACAAGACATGTTCAGATAAAATTTAAGCGGGAAAAATACGCTGTGGTCCGCTAGAATAGTTTGGCGCACGCGATGGCAGGACATCTGACCCTCAGTTTTCGTTTGATGGAAACGAGGAATTTGAATGACGTTTTTATTCGAATGTCTGACTCGTACCCTGGGCCCGGCCACAGGCGGCAATTTGGAGAACAATCGGCTTTAGCGAGTACTTCTCCTTCCGAATCATCGAAGCCAGCACAAGTGGCGCAAGCTGCAACTAAAAAGATCGACAGGAAAAAAGAAAGCGGAATACGATACATGGTCCCAAGCTCGAACCATGACTCCACCGAACGCGAAGACCTCGACTAAGGACGGTTTCGAAAGCGAGTAGAAGTCTTCGCCCTCTACGTCTAAGAGTTGATACTAGCCGCATAGAAGCCTGCTGATAATGTACCAACAAGATAAAAAACGCAACGTTGTTTTGCAGAGAAAGAAAGCTGCGAAGATAATCATTCGATGACGATCCATACTTTGCCCAGTAGTTTTAGCGATAATTTTTTCTTTATCCTTTAGTAGAGGGAGATGGGTTCGTGATTGACGAACGTGTCAATCAATGAAGTCTTGATCAAAGGATACTAGTTTGGTGCGTCCGCCTCAAAAAATTGAAAATTGCAAAACTTTTTGCCAATGTTTGGCTCGCGAAAAATTGACAGATATTTGAATTCGCTCTAGGGCGACCCGGCCCTTAAATTCTCAATTTCAAATAGATTCAAATAGACCGACCTGCTAATCCTCTATTTTCTTATGTGACGTATACGGCGAACGACTTAAAGATGGCTATCGTATCAAGAAAAGCGGATCACCTGAAAGTTGAGCAGGCTTTGTTTAACGATTAAAATGACCGTATATGGCTACCTTGGAACAATGGCGGAAACAGCTTTAAAATACACGCGGGATTTTTCAAAATTTCCGATTATCATACGAGTGGCAGATTTAAACCATCGGCAAAACTGATGATACGACAAATCCTCCCCGTGGGGGTGATTCTGGTAGATTTTTAGGATGCAAATAGTCACGGTGGGGTGGATGGTGGGGCGACTGTAGCTTTCGTATCTGAAGTAAAGAAATGTCACCGTTTTTTCCTTTACATTGCTTAAAACTGGCGAAAGATATATTCAATTAGAGGCTCACTGTGCGATACAAATGTGATGAGAGCATGTGTAACCTGGTATTAACGACCGAAGCCTACCACGCCGTTGAATCATGTAGGAGACTATCATCATTTGCTCGATTGTTTAATGTGCGGGTATTTAAATTTCGCGCTGCGTGAATGAGATTTTGTTCCTGATGTGCACAAAAAGGTTCATATTCTCCTTCCTCTAGCGTGTGATTTAAACCTTGTAATAACGTCCGAAGCCTCGCGCGTCGTTAATTCATGTATTTTTACGAGTATCTTTTTCTTTCCGTATTTCAATTCAACGAAAGGAGTTAAAAAAAAAAAACAATGGCGAGTGGAAATAGTCGCACACGCTCGTAAATTTCTTCCATTCGACTCGACTGTTCAATCCGAGTATATTTAAATTTCGCGCTTCGTAAGCAAGAAAAACTGAATAATCTCCTCCCACAATTTTTTTGTTTTTCACAAACCGACATCTAATTGATACCTATTCATCCTTTTGTGTGATAGCAGGAGGTGAGATTTTTTTCGCATAGTCATGTTCTGCTAGTTTCTTCCTTTTTTTTTTTGCTCAACAGGTTACGTGTATTCAATCACATCACTGACGCTGTCAGATTCATCTACCAAATTTTAGGGAAATCGAATTTCGCGCTACGAAAGTTATCCTATTTTCTTAGTTTGCATAAAGCACTGCGCAATCACCTCCCATAATTTGCTTACCTTAGCGCAAATGCATAAGCCCAGAAAAAACTTAACACGCGAAAAAAATCACACCCCTTGATTCGTTAAATGCCGCCTCGGTTGATTGAGAACAAACATAAAGTCCTAACGTCCGCTTTCTACAAAGGGAATATTTGGGAAAACTGTTGATAGCTTTATAATTTTAATAAAGACTGTTAGAATCCGTTGTAAAACTATGTAAGCTCAAGCAAGACCTGACAGAAAAAAGGCTCTCACTTTTCTATACACTGATTTTATTGCCTGCATTGCCTCTTGCGCGGTCGCGGTAATGGAAAATGCCTTTAGGTTAGCAATTTGAGCTCAGGGGAAAACCGCACTAACGTCTTTTGCGACTTTTGCTAGTTGTTTATTTATCCATTCTGAACGATTTTGCAATTATTCAATAGTTTGAACAGCACAGTTTTTAATGGCAATTTTTTCTTGGGCAGCGGTCAATCGAGTCAATTAATAATTTTTTTAAAAGCAAAAGCATGAAAACTAATATTTTAATAATTAAAAAAAAGACACTTAGTTGTTTTATGTTTTACTTCATAAATGTGACTTTTCAGGTTACCTTTGAATAAAATTGTAGAAGGTTTCATTCTAAAACCAAAAGTTCCCAAAATCGACATAAGACAAAGAGTAAGGTTTACCAAAAGCATACACAACAACTGAGATCCCCTTGAAGTAAAGATGTAACTTGAGACTTACTCTCGACAACAAGACTGATGTTTTTCGGCGCCTGGTCTTCCACTTCGCAGCTGTAATTTGTATTTCCTTCTTCTTCAGTGACGTTGATTTGAAGTCGCACACTAGTGCTGTTTTGCACAACAGCGCCATTCTTTCTCCAAACAATGCGAGGAGCTGGTCCACCTTCCGCCGGGCACCACAACGATGACAAATGATTGAGCAGGACAAACTGAGTCTTTGCGACGTTTTTCAGGTTGGTGGTATCTAAGCATAAATATAATAAGACATATCATCCACAATAAATTATACCAATAAGCCAATAAGTAAATCAAAACATTAAAACCCAAGAATACTTACATTTTGCATTTAGCGCTTTTCCCCCATAATAACTGTAATACGATAGCCGGTATCTATGGTGAGGTGAAAATCTTAACCACATGTTCTGTCCACTGGAACGTAGTTTAAAGCGAGGAACGTATCTTCCACAAAATACACCCAAAAGATTTCCAGACTGATTATACCCATCACGGATCTCAAGATATTCCTCATCAGCACAAGGTGCTCCATGTGAGTCAAAGGGCAAATAAAACCTCAATTCTATTTCCACATATTGCTCTTTTTCTACTTGAAGACGCTGGGTTGTGTCAAAGTCTGGGATACGTTGTCTGGAGTATACTTCCGCGATTATTGTAACTATGACAAAGAACATAATTTCACAGAGGAATAAGCATACATACTTTGAACAGTTAGCTCATTAATGACTGTCTACTTGCTTCCGTTATCGTGCGCGTAAACGATAATGCAAACTCATGATAGACTCTGAGATTAACTTCATAAGAAAATTTTCCCTGTATTTTTGTGGTAAACCTGTTATACGAGAAGTATTTATTCTTAATAAATCAGTGAGCATGTCAAACTCCTACGTCAGTAATTAACAACTGATCAGACATGCTGTGCCACAAGAGTCAAATGTCCCTGGTCGTCTATGTGGTAAGCATGGATTGCACACATAATCTTCGCGCAAATAACGTGTTCTTGTAAAGAACTATTATCAATGGCCCTTGGTTAGGCTTGGATAGTTTGCGTTCGCGTAATAGTTTAAACTGCCATACTGCAATGCTCATCGGTAAAATTGCATAGTTTGCTCTAAATTTTACCAAGGCTCTTAAATTACGCTCTTAATTATCCTCGGTGGCCAAAACAAAATCGTTCCTTCGGATTGTACGTATTTTCACAAATATGGATGGTAACCTTGGCCTAACGTGTGACGCTAGTTATAACTAATTTATGGAGCATATATATTCCTCAAACTCAGTACAATTTCATTTCTTTGCTGAGTCGTAATAATCAAAATAGATGAGCTGCTAAAAGGCATCAAGACCTTAAAAAAACGAGAAATTATCAAGGTATACTATATAAGATTTGTATTTAGAGCCAATGAATTTCATTGAACCTTCCTACAACTGTTCTGCGTATAAGTAAAGTTACTGATTTCTCTTAGTTTTGCCCATATTTTTACGTGAACTTTCGACAGAATACTTGCCTCCAACACTGCTTATTTTTTATCATTCTGCCGATAGAATTGATCTGAGCTTACCCTCGGCAAATCAGAATAATCTTTGCGTTAAAAATTTATTGTAACTTTTCTCACAACCAAAACTACTATAGTGTGTCTCATGCTCGCTCTTGAAAACTACACGTCTTAAACGAGCTCAGCCGACTTACCCAAAACAAAAATGAAAGTCCACATGTTAGACATCTTTCCTAGAAAGAAAAGCAAATGGGTGTTAAAATAAATTCAAATCTATCTTATCTGTAAGCCTCGAGTCGGCACCTCAGCATATCTATACGTTGTAAACGTTGCGATTCAGTATCATCATCGGCTTCGACCTTATTTCCTTTGTCGCGTGATTAGACCAGAATATTTATGCCTTAACGACTAAGCGTTCTCCCGGTCACTGTGGCTATATCATACGGTGAATGTTTGCACTATTTTACTATTTTATTTGACTTAAAATGGAACGTGCAGGTTAGTTAATATTCCCGCTATTAAAATTGTTCAATTCAAATGTTTAACGCTGTTTCTAGACATTTCTTGTTATTAAGAGACTTATAGCAACATCCGGCATATTTCCATTGACTGCTATTTTATCATTGTGTCACACCTACCCCAATTCTAGTAGTATTCCATACAGTGTTATTTATGAAAACGTTGCGTCGGCGAATAAAACAAAAATTCGTCGTCGTCGCAACTTTATTAAGAAGTCAGTTACTCATATAACGACACAAAGCGTTATGTTCTCTTATCCTCGTTTTTTTTCCTTTTATTTTTCTCCAGCAGTGTAGCATAAGACTCTACTTAAATTAATTTGATCACCAGTTATAACACAAAAAAGCTACGAGATTACCTGAATAGTGTTTGTTTCATTTCTCCGCTAGATTGTTTTTATGCTGCAGTCGCACTTACCAACACAACAAATATTTTATTCACGTATACATCAATAAAACCCTAACAGATGTTTCAAGCTGGTGGGGTTATACGTAAGTTGCTAAAGTGGAGGCTCGACATATATTTATCTCACGTAGCCTCTGAAGAAGAGTTTCTCAGCGTGCTTAACAAATCTGAACTGGAAAAAAAAAGATAAAAACAAAAACAGTGTTCGCACTAGTTGTGGCAAAATAATAACGTAAGTTATTTTTTTAGAGGAGAAAATCTTTCACAAAATGAAGTCAGACTCTAGCCCTCTAGTCATTTCCTCTTTGTTCAATAATTAGCATTTCAAATGTCTCATTCTTATTTTGGAAAGAAAGTTTTAACACCCGCCAATACTTCATCCTGATCTGTGAATCAAAACATTTATACCTTCAACTTTGTAAACCAAAAATCCATTGCAAGACTCGGGTGTCTTAAGTTAAGCAAAGTTCACATGCAAGACTTACCTGTAATATAATTGTAAGTTATATTAAAGAAACATTAATATTATATTAAAAACAGGCTCGGTAAACAAACTTGTTGTCCTCTTTCCAAGAACTAACAACATGAAAAATAGTTTTAGTCATAGCGGTGCAACCCTTTGGAATAGCTTACCCTGTAACATTAGAGAGTCTGGTTCATTAAACTAATTTAAAGCCCTTCCCTATCATAATTTTAAACACGGCATTCATGGAAATCAGGTTTTTAAGTGGCACATTGTTGTAAGTTAATATAATGTTAGGATTAGGATTTTTAGGTTCTTAGGATATTAGTCATTGTATTGGAATTTTTTGTACCTGATGAATGTTTTTTACCGCGTATAAATAATGATTAAATAAATAAATAAAGTTGACGAGAAAAAAAAGGGAATGAACTGAGTGACCTTAATGACGACAAAAAACGTTTTAACCTTGACCAGAGCGAATTCAAAGATAACACAGTGAAAAAGCCTGTTAACAATGTTATATATTATTCTTTTGTGCTTCTGTGTATTCACGTGCTCGTCTGTATTTTAACCCCTGTTTATTAGTCCTTTTGTCCCAGTAAATTTGCTGAAAATTGTTATTAGGCTACATCATCTAAATCCATATTGAAGAAAATAAGCACCCGAGCACCATTTGTCATAATTTAAGATCTGCGCATAAAAACCCGCGCGGAATCTAAACGCTCGCAATTTAATTATTTCCCTATAAAAAATTCAAATCACAGAAAAAAGTGATCAAAATTTAATAACAACAAAATCTAGAGGATATGTGTTAACAAATACACAAATCATAAACTGGTCTTATGTATTGGTAACTTCTACTTTTTATCTTCCATTATGAAATGACGTTCATTTGCAAGGATTTAGCATATGGTGCAGAGAATCCAGCTCTCATCTTCATCTTTATCGCTCTCTTAATTCGTCCAAATTCCTTAGGATATGTCTCGTGCGGCCGTCAAAAATTGACAGATTGAAAATTTAAATGAAATTGAGAGCGCTTGAGTCGTGAAATTCAATGTCCCTTTTAAATATTTGCCTTTCGAAATCGCGAAAATAAAACCCCGTCAAATATTATCTCCTCAGAATCGCAAAATTAAGTACCCGCGAAATTTTAATAAAATTTAAAATCACTAAGTTAAAAGTACCTGCTAAATAAATAAAAAGCTGATGTGAAGACTTTGGGAGACCGTGGAAGATGTCACTGAAATATTCACATATTTTGTTGCACTTCCTCTCCTAACGAAGAACTTGACACAGAATTCAGTTATTATTGTTTGCCCAACTTTCTCATTTTTGATCAGCTTAACAGGACATTTCATATCGAAATCAGGCTTGTTGACAATTGACCCATCAATAAAAATTCATTTAAGTGTACGCATGCGCCTATGTTTGTGTTCAGCGGACCGCAAGGAAAGTGAACGAGAAACTTTAGAGGGAATTGTTTGTCTCAGCTGGTTATTTTGCTCCTAGTTTGACTGGTGTCAAGGCTCTCCGAGTTGTTCTTTACTCCTTACTCATTAGGAATATTAGTAAAATGTGAATCTTTCCCAAAATGCCAGTGTTATCTGCAAAACAGGACCGTCTCAGTCGTGAGAGGACGCGCGGACATACTACAAAGACACAAAGAAAGTGGGAGAAGCTCTGCCATAAGCAGCCGAGACTTGAGAATTCTAATCAGAACTTTCCGAGGGAAAATTGGACTCTAAAAAACCGTGAATTGTTTGGCTGAATAGCAATCATTTTATTTGATAGAGGGCGGGGGGGGGGGAGAATACTTGGAAATAACAGTTGACGAGAGTAGGGGTCTAAAGGTATAGTCAAGAGGTTCTCTTAAAGGATCTTTCCCTGTTAACAACCAATTTCAGGTCAAGTGACCGGTTTATTTCTAAAAATGCTGAAGTCAACCTAAGTCAAAACCATATAAATATACAATTACAAAACGAAAATTCCTTGGTTATTTAGACAAAAGAAAAAGAACCTGATTAGTCCACCGTATTTCATAAAAGTGGACTTCTGTTTGCTGCTAAAAATATCATGCGATTGTCTCCCGGCCTACTATTGAGGGATGCATGCTTATATAACGTCGCCAAATTTGCCAACGCAAAAATCATTCTATTCTCAAATCAGTTGATAAAAAAAGCCCACACAGATGTTTAAAGCTGCGCAAGTAATAAAAGTAGTGGTTGTCTCATTTTAAATTCACTTTAGGTAATTCATACATCCCTAACGCTTTTTTAAATTTATTTATTTGAGCTAAATAATTAAGTCTATAAGACCAGAATTAAAATAGTCAGGTACCTACATGGTGCCATAGAAAATAATTTTAAGAAAGTTGAACATGTAAACATTTCAAAAGACACAAAATAAAATTCAACCCAGTCATCAGTTTGTAGCCACGGTAAATAATTACTGTGGCTGTGATATATATTGCACATCTCCATTCAGCACAATCTTCCTTAAAACTCAGACGTATAACTATTTTTCATTTTTCACGATTTAACAGTTTAGTTTGTTGTTAACTAATCCTCCAAGTTCGTTAATACTATCAGGCGGCCGTTATCCTTGGAATTAAATATTCAAAACTGTAGTAAACAAAATTAAACAATCATCTTTTACTTCCATATGTTTAGTTAGAATTTGAATAACAAAGGTACTTTTCCATTATAATCTTATCTTTGGGAGAAACCATTGAAAGATGTCAACGAAGCCGATGTTATTTTACTTTTCTGTTGATTTACTTGTTGCAAAAAAA